TACAGTCAGTTTTTGGCTTTCAGTTACAAAAGTAGTTTGGGGATTTGTCAGGGATTCTAATCAGTATCCCTGATCCATAATCAAAGTTTTATTGAACCTTGCACTGTTTCTTATGTGCCTAGAACTGGGGCAATGGCAGGGCAAAGGGGATTAGAGAAGCATAAGACAATCTACCTACATTTGAAGAGCTTGCAATTTGGTAGGAGATAAAATAACAAACATGAAAGAGAGAGACAATTCAGTTCTAAGCTGTATATAACTTCTCTGAGTACAGTAGAAATTTCAGTGACAAAGACAGATATCCTGAAGTTTTCTAATTTGGTAGGGATTTATATGTCCCTAGGGTTTGCCTTAATAACAATCTGTAATCCTGCTGTGGAGACCAGGACTACCTGAAAACTCATCTCTAAAAGGGTATATAGCAACTTGTCAAACAATAGTAGTTTGGTCTGGTTTTTCACATTTAAAAAAACATTGCTTTCTGGGGTACAAGAGTAATACTGGGTCTCCCAAATTTAATTAATGCTGCCAACATTTACCATTCTTTACCATATCTTTATGTTATCTCTGTACCTATAGAACATATTTTTGCCAAAACTATTACAGAATTTCTCTCACAGAATGTTTATATGTTTGCATGAATGTGTGTGTATATATGTGTCAAATGGAGAACAAAAAAAGAATGAGTGTGTGTGTGTATGAGAGAGAGAGAGAGAGAGAGAGAGAGAGAGAGAGAGAGACGGAGACAGAGAGTGAAAAAAAGTGAGTATTTAAAGGCTAGTGCTTCTACCAACTTTACATGAGAGCCACTATTTCCAATTAGAAAGATGAATTGGCACCTTTTCCCAGGGCCACATAAGCAAATATAGGTAAAACCACAGGAGATTTAGTGCGCCCTTCACTCTAGCCACTAGTCTCTTCGTTGTCCCATAAAGGCACCATTAGCTCTCCCATCTCCATGTATATGCTCATAGCATTTCCTCGGACAAGGATGTTCCCTCTTCTCTCTCTTAATTCTAGTACAAGGGAAAAGTACTGACACTAAAGTCAGAACATGAGTTTAAATCCTGCCAATAATATTTACTATCTGTGATCCTCGCCAAGTCACATCCTCCTTAGGCCTCACTTTCTTATTCTATAAAATGAAGAGGTTAGACTAAAAGACATTCATATCCTTTTCAGTTATAAATCTGGATTCCTATAAGCTTGTGTATTCTCCTCTATCTCTCTCATCACCTCAACTAGAAATGAGCTCATTGGTAAACCATTACATTCGTTGATCCTAATTACATATTTCTTCAGACCATACCAAAAGAAAGAGCAAAAATAACATTGCACACCAATCTCACTTTCTCTTTTCAGTAAGGTTACTTGACTGATAGGGTCAAAGTGATATACTGTAGAAAGTTTATCTAGATTTTTAACAAACCCTTTGACCAATTCTATCATGCTGTTCTAGTGCAAAAGTTGGAAGGGTAATAGTGTTGTGTGTGGATTTAAAGGTAGAAGAGATCCTGGAGGTCACATATTTCAAATCTCTCATTTTCAGTTGATGAATCCAAAGCCCACTGTGGTTTAGAGAAAGGTAAACTACTTTTCTAGGACTGGTTGAATGGTTAGATTCAAATAGTGGTATTTAATGGTTCAGGGTCAACTTGGAGGGTCCCTTTTGAAGTGCCTCAGGGCTTTCTGCTCAGTCATGTGCTATTTAATATTTTTTTTTCAGTGATGGGCAAAAGTTTGTGTTGTACATTTAACAAATCTGCTCTTAACAGGAAGCTAGAAGGAATAACTAATACGATGGATGTGAGACAAGCTAAAACATGGGGCTGAATCTAAGAGAATGAAATAAACAGGTATAAATGTAAAAATCCCACTTGTATTCCCCAAAAAATCAACTTCAAAAATATAAGATGTGAGTGGGTGTGACTAGATAGCAGCTGATATGAGGAAGTATGGGACAGTGACAAGAGTCCTGGGCTTCAAGTCAGAGCTTCTGTGTTCAGATTCTGACGCTGACACTCACAATGTGACCTAGTCCAAGTCACTGAATTTCTGTGTCTTCAGTTTCCTCTGTCACTCACCTATTCAGTAAATTCAGTGCTTCCCTCTTGCCTCTAGGATCAAATATAAGACACTGTGTTGAGCTTTAAAGAACTTCATAGCCTTGCCTCAACTTTTCCTTGTAACTTTATCATACATTACTCTCTTTCCCATAGTCTACAGTCCAGCCAAGCCATCTTTCTTGCTTTTCCTCACATTTTCTCACCTTTGCTCCTTAACACTGGTTGTCTTCCGTGCCTAGTATGCACTTCAAGCTCAGCTCTTAGAAGCCTATGTCTCCTTCAAAACTCTGGTTGTTACACCTTCTAGATGAAGCCTTCCCCCCTCCAGTCCCTAGTGCCTCCCATGTAACTTCTATTTATTACACACACACACACACACACACACACACACACACACACACACACACACATGACTATACAGATATTAGATACACACATATATGTACATTTGTTGTTGTTCAGTTAAGACCCCATTTGGGGTTTTCTTGGCAGAGATACTGGAGTGTTTTGCCATTTCCTTCTCCAGCTCATTTTACAGACAAGGAAACTAAGGCAAACAAGGTTAAGTGATTTGCCCAGGGTCACACAGCTAATAAGTGTCTAAGGCCTGATTTGAACTCAGGAAAATGAGTCTTCCTGACTCTAGGCCCGACATTCTATCCACTACACCACCTAGTTGCCTCTGTACATATGTATGTATATACAGTGTTCCAAAAGTTTCAGTGAATTTTTTAGCTATTAAAATTTGAAACTACAACAAGACTTTTGGAATAATCTATATGTATTCTCTTCCAATGAAATTCTCATTCCTCAAATACAGAAACTATTTAGTCATTTTTGTTTCATTTTTTGTATTTCTAAAAGCTAATGTAGTTTCTACCACATAATAGGTTTTTAATATCTGCTTGGTTGATTACTCTAAATACCTGCAAAGTTTATTCATGTGATACTTATCTACTGTCTCATTCTGAGAATTCTTTTCATGTATGTCTGTATATACATGATTATATATAATATATATTTACATCCTCTTATATACATATGTATATGTATATATTTACATCTTCCACTAGACTACAAGCTCCTAGAGAGAAAGAATCATGTCTTAAGTATCTTTTATGTCCCGGTGCCTTGCACATATTAACCATTCCATATTTACTTGTTGACGGATTGGCTGATTGTTCGATTCTGCCAAGTAGATGACTTTTTTGGACATATGCTGAAACAGATGATGCAAACCCTTCACAGATGCTATACACCTCTGAGCCCAGTCTTCGTCCAGAATACTGGGAAGGGTTATTGAGTGGCTTCACTTATAGCGACTCAGCAAATGCTCGTTTTGAATGTCCTCTCACCTCATCTATCTACATCTTACCCTATCCTTCCAGGCTGATTTCAAGTCCCAACTCCTGAATGAAGCCAACCCTGACATCATCAGCCACAGTGATCTTTTACTTCCATAAACTTACAACCTTCAGGAGTTGGAAGGAACCTCAGAGGCCATATTGTCCAATTAATACTTTAAAAAGATCACATCTCTAGGTGTCATCTAGCCTTTGCTTACTCAAGGGAGAAACTTACTTTTGTCTAACTAATTTCACATATTGACTATATCTATACCTTCAAGAAGTTAATCATATACTGCCATAGGCCATATCTTGCATTGTTATTTAACTCTATTTAAGCTCTTTGGGGGCAGAGTTAGGGGCAAGGAATGCACCTGTGATTTTATTAATATAAGGAATACCTGGATGAGGAAATTCTGTCTATCAATGTAGTATAGGCATCTTCTCTCCAATTTATAGTCTTAGAGACTGTTACATAGAGCATTGAGAGATCGTGACTGGCCCCAAATCACAGTTAGTATGTGTCAGAGGTGAGGCTTGAACCCAGGTCTTTCTGGCTCCAACATCAGCTCTCTATCCACTATTCCATACTGCCTCTCAAGATAGGGACCATGTATCATTTACTTCTTTGTAGAGACCACTAGTTCCTGCTAACAATAACTTGAATGAATGCTCACATACACACACACACACACACACACACGCATTTTCTATCATCTTTAAAATACAGGGGTTTAAAATGACTAAATTTTCACAGAACTATCTCAAGTTAAACCCAGTCCAAAAATACCAATTGTTGCCTCTCTTAGGAGGCAGAATATATACAAATATTTGTTATAAATATATGTCTGAATTTTAACAAGCAGCCACCTCCCTAAATCAACTATCTCTAGTTAGCTTCTTTCAGTTATTTTAGATCATATTATGATGTCATTAGCCAATGAAGAGTAACAATCTACAGGCTTACTCAACTGCTCCTTTGATAGAATGTTAGACATTAGACCTAGAATGTAGAGAATTTCTCATTCATTTCATTTTACAGATGTAGAAACCAAGGCTCACAGAAGTCACAGGATCACTGATTTATAGCTGGAAGGGAATTCAGAGTCAATGGAGTCCAGCCCCCCTATTGTACAGCCAAGAATATCAAAGCCCAGAGAAGTTAAAGGACCTGTTTGGTATCACCCACTAAGTTTTTTTTTTTCAGGAGGGTCTGGGGGGAGGGGCTTCCAGCCTAGGTTTTCATACCTGCATCTACTACATTAGACACTGCATTTATCAATGGTTAAGTTAATATCTCTAGTTTCCTGGCTTGTGACTCATTCAGGAACATGAAAAACATCTGAGGGGAGTGTTATTGTTGTTTGGGTTTTGTTTTTGGTTTTGGTTTTTTGAGCTCTCCTGGTTTGCTTTCCTTGAAGATTCTCAAACAAAAGTTAAGATTAAACTAATCTGACACTAGTAGATATTTGCCCATAAATATCAAGGTACAAACCACCAAATTCTGGATTAGTTTTCAACTGTGAGCGCTGTCCAGAAAGGAGAAAGGCCAAGGTAGTAATTTTAAAACAACATCACAAAAGATTCACATATTTTCTTTCTTTAGGTTTTATTAAAATACAAGGAATTTTTTTAAAGCACACATTCCACTCAGCACCAGTATTGTAACACAATTCTTGCTGACATTCTGCAAAGCAATTGTTTCCACCATGGATAAGCAGAGACACACACATACAAATATGCACGAACACACATACAATTGTGTCCTCACCATGTTTGCCAAGTCCTCATGATATCATACACCAAATTAATCTCCTTGCTAGAAGACTCCAAGGCAGGGAGCAGCAAGCCACTGTGACTACATCCAACCTCTAACGGAGTGACTGACTCTTTTGTTAGGGGCCATCATTTGCACACTGGCAGCCCTTCCACAGCTTGGTCTCCCATTTTAGATGCCCAAAGGCTTGAGCTAGTGATTATGAGGACTGTGGTTACATGACACACAACTGAACAACACTGGCCAAAATTCCCTACCCAATACCTTTCATTACTTTGGTTTTGTAGTATTGAATGCATACGTCTTCAATGCTGCTTCCAACCCCCAATCACATTGAAACAATGTCATCCAGTGATGTAGCCTGCCCAAGACTTGTGAAACTTCTCTCTGTGGGTTTCTTTCATTAATTTGCTTATGTTTTATTTGTTCACATTTTTTAAATTATTGTTATGATTAGTGGAGCCAAATAGTGACTCCATTAAACCTGTGTATAGACTCCAACATCTAATCACTAAATAATAAACTCCCCAAAACTCTTGGTACTGCTGCCCAGAGTTAGCACTACTCCATGAAGAGACTTATTCAATCTCTGTAAGAAACGATTTTTTATTAATTGTCTTTTTTTCAGAATAGAACAGCATCTGTCTGCTCAAAGACCTTGCTTCTGACAATGACAGATAACCAGGGTGTCAGAAAACCACTGATTCTTAACCCAGTCTGCCCCATTTAGGTTTAGCAGTACAGTTTTGAGGAGTGATTTGAGAAAGACTTTTTTTCCTACCTCCACTGAGTTAGGATATGGGGTCTTCACCATACAACTCTTCACTCTCCCAGCTCCTTTCTCCCCTATCCTTCCCCTGAACAGTTCTTCTGCAATTTGAAGGAAACTCCCATCACAGAGTGGGAGATTTATATGGAAATAGTGGGACTATGAAATATGAGTAAAATGGTTTTGATTTTCCTTAAGTTTAAGGAAGGAGATGAGGCATAACCAAAAACAATTATTTCAGCTGGGACTTTCAGTCTCATTTTTTAAGATCCTCACTGCCAACCACCACTATTGAGAAAGATGACATGGTCAGAAGTCTAAGGAACTCTAAATGTTTGACTTTTTCACCATTCCCTCAATTGTAGAAGAGAGCTTACTTTTAATCTCTGCCTTCACAAATAAACATGAAATTCTGAACGAACTCAGTTCTGAGACCCACGAATCAGAGATCAAACTTGTCTCAGCTCTAAAGAGGGAAATCTTCCTTAGGTTCACAGGAGATAAGATCCTCATCCTTTACTATCATCCCACAAGTAGGACTGGTCTCCATATCCATGGTCTATAGAAGGTACGTACAGAAGGAACCTAACCAAATCCTACAAGTTTTTCCAAGAGGAAAGAGATCATCTTTAACACCATCTCTCTGATGCCTATAGAAAATCACTAAGTCTATTCCATCTATGAGCCCAGACTAAGAGCAGAAATCTGGAAGGGACAGAATAAGGGTCTTTTCTACATTATCAGGGCTGGGAATGATTAGGTAGAGTAGAGGTTTGCTTTACCAGGTGATCAGAATGTTTAAAAAGCAGTGGTGCCCAAAATCAGGAGCATGTGAAGACACAGTAGTGGAAATTCAAACCAGGTAAAAAGATAGCCATGTAAGCTAAATCACTATCACTTCAAATATGCAAAGCTGGATGACTATTACTAATCTGTTTGCCTGTTGTGAGGTCAGGAGCTATTTTAATATTGTATTAAGTATGTCCACCAGTACTTGATGGACATTTTATTCATGCCCATTTGAGAAAGTCCTGGTCAAATCCTCTAAGTAATAAAGTAAGTTTTGAATAGTTCCAAGCCATAAACCTTTGAAACATTGAATAAAATATGAATCCATAGCCTCTAACAAAGTCTTAAGTAGCTAGAAAACTATTTCAATGGTATACAAGCTAATCCAGTTAACATATTTAAACTGAGAGCCCCATATAAACGTGGCCTGTCAAAAGAAAATGATCAGATGAGAGAATGGATGCCAAATCACAGTTGTGGCAGTATGTGTATACATACATATATATACATATGTATATATACATACACATGTGAAAGATTAGCACCAAAAAGATGATGTTTTATCTCCCAGAGGATTATTAGGATGTTTGAAAATAAACTGTGGCAAGAATCAGAAGTATGTTCTGTAAACATGGGGAATAATAATACAGACAGAAGCAACCCCTTGGGTCATGCTTGTTAAGAGGTGTGACATGTGTTATACGTAGCTACATTTTTTTACCCTTGTGTAATAGTAGGGTTTCCATGCTCTTCCTTGGGGAATCTGCTCTATGTGGATGTATCTCCCCATTAAAAATAATTTTCCCCCTGATATTTGGCATAACTTTCATTTACTAACTTCCATTGCTGTTTCCCTATTGCTCATCCTCTGCAACAGGACTCACCTACGATAGTCTGCACTTCCTTCTACATACTTGTAGCAAAACTAGAACACAGAAGTAATTTTCTTCCACTCTTATCTGGACAATGAACATTGCCTTCTTGTAATCTCACTTTCCTTCCCCCCACCTTCTCTGACATACTATACCAGTTCTGTATATAGAGGAAAAAACAAGATACTTTCAAGGAAAATATCACTCACATGGTGCCCCTGACTTTTATAAGATCTCTTTAAAGGCACTGTATAAATCCTAACCCCATTCTGAAAAACAAAGAAACTGGACAAATGAACCGATGATTTTTGATGCAAAAAAAAATTCAAAGTGAAAAAAATTCTGTAAACATTTAATATTAATTTTTTAAATATATGTTATTTACTACTAGTTCATTAAATAACTAGAGTTCTGCAATTCTATTTACCTATTCTGGTAATGTATATAAACACCAAAAAAAGCTACCTGGTTTAGATAACTTGGCAGGGGAAAAAAAGTTTGAGCTGTTCTTCAGTACCGATTTTCTTTTTCCAATTTTGATAGTCTCTATTTTTGTGATATTCAAATTCAGTACTTTGAGTTTCTGGCTTTTCTCAATGGGATGATGAGTTTGTCTTTTGCAATCCATTCCTATTCTTGCTTATTTTCAGATGCAGTCACCTGAGCTTAGTGTTGTTTCTGTGTTGGTCTCCTTTAAAATTACTAATAACTAAGAGTTATGTCCATAAATATTGACATATACTGACATTTGAATTTCTCAAAATTACAAAAAAAAATTCTGTTCACATTTTATTTTATAAACTAGCCTTTAAATATTCTCTAAAGTCTGACCTTCAAGAAAATTGATAATTCTCTTCTCAAAATGTTTTATATAACCTGGCAGTTTTATAAAAATCCACCTATGGCACATAACAGTGTGGTACAGAAGACTACACTATATAAAGTCTTTTGGGTACTTCTAAGGACTAGCCCTTGGTAGAGGGGGCCCGAGACAGATCCAATTTTCAAATCTGTGTAAATGTGGGAATGTTGTTCTACCAAAGCCCAAAGTGTCATTGTGGATTGCACTGTAAAAAGGCTCTGATATATTTGGATGGGACTCATCCCCAACTAGCTGTCTCTTACCTTCTCGAGCACTTATTAAAGTACCTGGCACATTGTAGGCACTTAACAAATGCTTGTTGTCTTGATGCTTATGTTTCTTAGGAAACCATGTTTGTGTATTTGCATCATTCTTGATAGTTCACCTACTTTTGAGGGACAATAAGGCTATATAGTAGTTGAGCAACCAGAGAATCATTCCCCACAAGGCAGCTGAGATGATTCATGAAATATGAGCAAACTGTTTTCAGCTCAACATATGGAACTTCATTACAGAGACCAACAAGTATTCCACGGTAAGGAATGAGTGGCGCTATGTAATATTTCAACAACTGTCACTGTTGCAACCACAGAGTAACCTATGGCACTAGTTCATGCCTAGTGAGGTATCATGGTTCATTTATTCCCCCACTCAAAACACACAAAAAAAGGTAAATAAATTATTTTATATAAAAAATGCAAAGCCACCCTTCATCTTTCTATATCTCTCTCATTATAGGATAAAGAAATTATTTCCCACTCATAGGGTCTCAGATGGGTTTTAGCAGAACTATTTTCTCTGGCCTGGAGAATTACTCATGTGTGGGTATGTGTTTCTATTCCTAACTAATTAGTTACCCTCTCTGTAGCTTCAAAGTAAAACTCTCTGTACTCACCTGATCTTTGAGCCTTCTCTTTCCTTATTTGTCATTTTCAGAGGAATTACAGAGCTTTTAAGTTGAAAGGGCCTTTGAAGATCATCCAATCCAACACTCTCAGTTTATATAAAGCAAACTGAGGACCAAGAATATTACATGATTTGCCTAAGATCCCAGAACTGGTAAATGATAGTCCGAATTTTAACTCAGGAAATAAAACTCCAAGTCCAGTGTACTTCCTACAACTATTTCACCTCTTGACCAGAGAATAACCCTAACCCTCCAAAGTGAGGGAAGATCCTCAGAAAGTACCCCTAAATATCCTGAGTATTCTTGGATGTTTTCGGCCAGCATCTTGCAGTGCATACTGAAAGATAAAGCCAGAGATGACACCAACACTCTAAAAACCAGGACAACCACCATGTGAACCACACCCCTCCTTTTTTTCCCCAAGACTCACTACAAACAAATATTTAGGGATTTACCAACAGTCTTCTATTCATGGTGGAGAAAGTTAAGATAATAATCCCTATTCTAATAGAGTCTTTTGTCCCTGGCATTTCTCTAGGGCAGGTTGAATGTTTTTCCCCCATTTTCTCCAAAGCAAGCACCAGTTGTTTAATTCCATCTCAAGTCAGGATGGAGACTTTGAAACAGGTTCTTCCTGCTCATCTTAGGCTCTTTTTCAAAAAGAGAAAGGTAACAAGGGGTCATTGGTTAGGCAGGTATTATCATTATTATTATTACTATCATTGTTATTGTTTGGTAGGGGAAGTGGTGATGGTCTGTTAGGGATGGTTTTATTCTTCTGAGATGGCTATTAAAACTGCTGTCCAGCAATGGGGGAATAAATGAGATCCAGTTGAAATTGTGGATCCGGTACATCCTTCTCTTCCTCCCCCCTTCCTTTTTTGTTATTTTTAATAGGGCACTATGCAACTCAGAAATTCCTCCAGCTAACCTGGATTTCATCTCTTGCTGAAGTTCTTCTCTAGCCAAAGTCGGACTTCCTGAAGGTTATAGAAAAAGGGGCCCTTCCCTCCTAAGTAAGCAATTTTTTGTCTCTGCACAACACACACACGCTCAAAGGATACCCCATAGGCTATGTTGGCATTGTTATCCATGCAGTCAGCCACCACCTGGCACTGGGGCGGCAAGGAGAAACGCTCCAGGAGCTGATGGGCTGCTGCACAGCGGTCTTCCTGGTTCCGGTGTTTCTTGACCTCGAAAGACACAGGGGAGTTACCAGGCACCGCCCAACCATCTGATGGATGAGCTTCATCAATGTAGACCAACAAGAAGTCAGCCACTGTTGAAAACTCTTCCACCAGCTTGCTAAAGGCCGGTAGCTGGTTTGTGAACGGTGGTCAAGTGGCTGAACCAAAGTTGACAACCAGTGGACGCTCAGGATTGGCAAAATCCAGGAGACGGCACTCAGCTCCATATCCTCCATCAAATCTCTTCCACTTGGAATTGTTCTGTTGACCATTCCCAACTTCAGCTCTGGTAATGTGGACTACACTGGAATTGGGGGCATCTCCACCCAATTTCACCTGATATCAAAGAAAGAAAAAAAAGGATGGGGAAGAACCCACATTAAATAGACTTAACTTGGAGGACAAATTGGTAAGCTAAGTAACCACAATCAGCTCAAAAAAAAAGGCTACATTACATTTCTTCAAAATAAGGTACAATGATTTCAGTAAACTTAGTTTAGAAAATAATGATTGCTGATTTTAAAATTACTTTTTGTCCTATATAAGGACTACAATTTTTATGAGGGTAAGGTATGCTAGACTAATCATTTCATTATAAGGACCTGGGGGGGCAAAACCCTCCCTAAATCAATGTAAATCAGCAATTGTTCTGCAACTTAAAGTCTTAAAAGTTGCCTTCGACACTTGGAGATTGAGTGATTTGCCCAGGAGTTCCACAGCCAGTTTATGCCAGAGGGAGGACTTGAATCCAAGTTGTTTTTAATCCAAGGACTTTCATCACTGATGCTTCTATAAATGCATCATAAATAACTTCTTCACTCTCCAGTAATTTCTATCTGCTGCACTGAGGCTGGTATTCTTTGTAACCATTACTTCCCTAGATGCTAATGCTTCATGCATGTTACATAAGTGAATTATTGGTTCCATTTCAAAGCCATGACATAAAAAGGTTAAAATGAATTGCCCAAGTTCAAGTAGAATGCCAGCTGGCAAAGTGAAAAGCTAGGAAAGAATGTCCAATTTTGGATTCTCAGTTCAAAGTTCTAGAAAACATGGCATCCAGCAATGACCTAGGGCCCAAATTGATTCATTCAGTATCAACTAACAAAAAAAGTAGCATAATTGACTGGATCCATTTTGAGGTTCCCAGAGTTCTTACGCTGAAATCAGACTTACCTTCCTGGCCTAATTGTCCACAGCTAATTTTAAAACAATTTATGCAAATGCTGGATTACTTTCGAAAAAAATAAGTTTGTTTTAAATAATTGCTTAATAATTGTTTATTAAGAGAGTAATAACAAATCTTTCATTTCAAGTATGCACTTTATTCTGTCTGAGGACAAGCTATTGGTCCTACAAGACTGGGATGACAGAAATTTAATCACAGTTTTTTCTCCAGCAATGTCTCTTTACACCTTAGGATTACATTAAGGCTTCAACATAACAGTGGCTTAAAAGGAGATTACAGGTGAGTTTTACTTGACCTTCACTTCCATGATTGAGGGAAGGACAAGCATAGGGTTGGGGGAACACACAGGAGGAGTAAACATTCTTGTGGTAAAGTTTCTAATATTTACCAATGAAATGTTCCTACCTTTAATAAATTTATATCTTGCATAAATCAGAAAAATGATAACAAAATCAAGACTTCCTTTGTAACTTGAGGGGCATGGCATCAAATATTTGAACAGTTTCCTTTCTTTTTTCCTCTTTTTCTTTTAATATCTGACACAAAGACTTGAATAACTCTGGAGGATATCTTATAAATAATTCCAAGCTAAACCCTACTGACTATAAAAGAACTGAACAACCCACAACAGCACTAAGAGATCTCCAAAATGAGTGTTAGCTGCTAACAAAGCCCTGTCTAGCAAGTGAGTGGGGGGAAAAAGAGATTTACCCTATCTCTATAATACCAGAGAAAGCCCGTCCTTGGATATGAAGTTTCCAGTGTTCTTTTTTTTCCTCTCATTCTTATTTTTAGTACCTTCATCCCCTTTCTTGCCTCCATTTCCCTTCTTCTCTAACCACAAAATTTTAGTTCCTAGGAGTTAGTCTCTGGCTTGCACAAAGGATATGGAAGTGAGTTTTTTAAAGGACAGCAAGAAGACCCATTCGGTAAAGACACTTAGTTACAAATGCTTTAAAAAAAATCAAAAGGAATTTTGTGGACCCTTGGATATATTGGCTGATAATAAAATGCAGAGAATATAAAAGAGGCAATTACTTTAGCTTTGGATAAGTAAAATTGGATCTTTCCCTAGAATGGTTTAATCAAAGCCAATAACATCAGGGACAAGTTACCATAGTACAATTGATTTTTTTATATAGTGCCCTTCATACTACAAAACACTTATAATGGGTCTCACTTGAATGTGCCTTCATTTATGCTAGGGAGGTAATGCTGGTGTTAATTGAAGTCATTTGGAGGAGAATTTAAAAAAAAAACCTCTACAATCTAAACTGGTATATTCAAATTCTGAGGCTCTATGCATGCTGTTTAAGAATCTTTTTGGCAAATTTCAATTTAGAACTCACTTTTACTGCATAAAGGGCAGAACTAAGTAATATTCTACTTTAGAATAGAGACAGGCAGGTTCATAGTAGATATTACTATCTCTATTTTACATAATTAGAAACTAAAGGAATTCCTGCTTAGATTGTTTTCTTCCCCTGTTAAGTAGCTAAGTAAAAAAGTAAACCTAATTAAATTAAATGATGAAATCATGTATCTTAACTTTTCTAGTTAAAATGGTTAATTTGTAAGGTGAGCTGAAGATACATAATTTAATAAGCTACTTTGGATGAGATAATTTTGATACTGGAGGAAATTTACTTATCAGGTTACCATGACTTTATTGATGGTGTACTCCAGAGAAGGAAACCACAACCTCTCTATTCATAGATTAGAGAAGATACTTTCATAACTTGGTGTCCTACCTTTTCTTTGATAAACCTATTGTGAACAGCTCTAAGTTGGTCTCTGATTGACAGTCTGCAGCTGGACCCATTCTCCAAGTCTTTCCACTTTGCTAAGGCTTGTACTATGTTGGCAGGACATTTGAAAACCCAAGTCACCCTGACACCACGAGAAGGCATTGAGGAGGGATTTAGTGGAAGTTAGAGAAGATAGGTGCCAAGGGTAGATGAATGAGAACAAATTTCAAATTAAGTTTAGAAGATATTTTGCTGATTTGCATGGGGTTTAGTGTTCTTGTTTCACCCACCTATCTGTATGACCTGGTTAAAGAGGAACACTGCAGATTTAGGGTTCTCGTTATTACCTATGTTCTAATTCAATTTTAGTCAAACGTTTAGGAGGAAAGAAGCATTTATTAAGCACCTTCTGCATTCAGCATGGCTTACAAATATTCTCATTTGATCCTCACAACTACACTTTAAGGCAGGTGCTAATAATGTAGTTGGGGAAACTTGAGGCTGCCATCTGTACTAGGCATTATGCTGAGTGCTATGGAGACAGAGAAAGATGAGAGCATTATCCCTGCCCTCAAGGAGCGCATATTTTAAGGCTTTTAGACAACATATGTATCACCCCATGTAATTCTTTTGCGGATATTAAATCCCTGAAAGTTTATTGCATCAGAACCGACTCAACCCATGATGTCCCTAGAGCGACATGAATATAGTGAGAGCAAACCTTTTCCTGGACTCCAGAGCTACATCCTTAGCCATGATGAAGGGGGGTGGGAAAGCCCACAAACTGTTAAGTTTTAAGTCACTTCTAGCACCCATGAACAAGTTGTGTGGTCTTTCTAAGAGGGACCTCTGACTCTGTGACTGGAACCTAAGCATACCTGAAGAACATTTCATTAGTCACAAGGTCTTCAACTGTGCCATCAGTCTGATTTCATTGCCAATGACAGTTTAGCTAGGGATCATTTCCCTGGGAAAGTTTTGTGTCCTCGCTTTCTGCTGGTGACAAAGTAGAACTCAGAGGCAGAATTATTTCTAAATGTGGCATAATTATATGGATGAAAATAAGGAGTGACAAGAAAGACAATGCATCATTTAAATTCCTTGTCCAGTTGCACAAGATTAACACTGCACTTCCTAGTAACAATAAATTGTCAGTGAAAAGAAATCTCTTTCTAATCATGACACTTGCCCTAGGGTTAGTATAATTACCTAATTGTAGTGGGCAGGCAAACACTCTTTCTGAGGTCACCTAGCCAGCTAGTGACCAAGGGAGAAATGGGAACCTCTAAAACCCTCCCTTTGAGAATCTTGCTATAAACAATCTGCCTCTCTGCCAGGCTAGCTCAGCTGGTTGGAGCATAGTGCTAATGAGGCCAAAGTCAGGTATTTGATATCTTTGTGGGCCAATTAGCTTTGCTCTGTTTGGTAGCCACAGCAGCTTGCAGTAGTGGAAAGGATACTGGATTTGGAATCAGAAGACGTGGGTTCAAATTCACACCTCTAGGCTTCACTGCCTTCAAATTATTTCTAACACATTAAGTATTAACATATAAAATGACAAGGCAACCTTAGTCTGAACTGAGATTATATTCTGGTAATTACTGAGGTTTGATACTGAATATCATCTAGTTTACTAAAGGCAGAAGCCCAGGTATGATGTGAAAACCAAATAACAAGTGAAAAGCATTGAATAAATGTGAACTACATCACCAAGTGATATTATCAAAGAAAGCAAAGCAGACTGTCCTATGGAGACAATATTTTAGGAAAAAAGAAAAGTGGGGAGGAGAAAAACATATAAACCATAAATAATCTTTAGTCTCCAGAGCAAATATCTTAAACATTTAAAAACCAGGAGAAGGAAAATGATCCAATCCAGCAGGGGAAAAAAATCTCATCTCCCTTTGACATTAACATATAAATGGGTCTTCAAACACAATCTTAAATTAAAGGGGATAGACCTGTGATTTCACTGGTTTAGGAAACCCCTCTACCAGTACAGGTCAACATTCTTTGAGTCTTATTGAACACATACTTACAGAGTTGCTAGTTTCATACATTAATGGGTCATTTTCATTCACAGAATTAAAAAACGTCAACCATCCAGAACGGAAATTACTTAGGGGAAGAAACTGTGTTTGTTTTCTGTCTCTATTTAGGACAATACAGTGCCTAACACCACAAGAATCTCTATTAGAATACATCTGGTAGTAAGTGGTCACCCAATCTTTGAGGGTCTTCAGGGAGAAGGAAACTACTGCCCTATGAGGAAGCCCAAACTGACTGCCAGGTATTCAGAAACACCACGGGACAAGCCTCCAGGGTTTTGTGACAGAGAGAATTTGGTTTCCTCTATGATACATGCCATGAATGGAAGGATTTTTTTCTCCATACTCAGTTGTGGAAGTCATATTATTATATGACCATAGAACTGGAAGACAGGCAGCATTGTGGAGTGTGCAAGACTCCAGACTTAATTAAGAGTCAGCCTGGGTGCATATCTTTTAATCTGTCTGTGCCTCAGTTTCATTGTCTGTAAAATGAACGACATTGAACTCCATGAGCTTTATGATCCCTTCCAGCTCTAAATCTGTAATCCTATGATTGGAATCATTAGTTCCAGTAATGGAAGAGTATCTCTTTTCCCCAGGGCAGATTCTTCTTTGATGAGACCAAAGTGACATGAGTTAAAAAACAAGATAAATCCAATCCCATAATATCATTTAAGTCTGCAAGAAAGCAATTCGACAAAAACAAGTCATCCTCTGGTACTTCCTAAATTTACTTTAATTTCCCACAGTGGCACAGAAAGTCTCCTGGCCACAAGTTACCTATCATCTTCATTTCTCCTTCTTAGAGGGTTTGTATTTGTTTGGGGGGGGGGGAAGGTTGTCCTTAATGAGACATATTTGCCAATGAGGCATTCAAAAGGCATTTTTTCACTCTTGTGGAAGAGTAATTAGGTCGGTGCCTCATTCCATGCCAACACTGGCCACTCCATAAACGAACCCTGCCCAGTATTTAATGCCCAAACACAAGAGGCATCATTTCCACTAATTGGTCTTCCAGTTCCAATGTTCCCAAAGGATCTCTTTATTTGAAGAGGCTCAGAATAGTATGTATGCAGAATCTAATATTGCCATTACCAATTTCTATCTCACCTGCATTATTTTCATTGTTCACTCTTTAAAAAACAACACTATCAGTAACAACAACAAAAGAATAAAGATGAATTGTGGGAAAATACTTGAATTTCAGGAATATGTAATGCCTTCAAACTGGGTACCCATAATGGCATAACCGTAAGTACATATATGTAGATATATCTGCAGAATACATATTTAGATCTTGTTCCCTTAATGATAGGATTGCCTTCTAGAGATATGTGTTTAGCGCCGGGGGGGGGGGGGGGAGCATTAGTGCTGCTTTAGCATGTGGACTGCAAAATGAAGAGAGGGGAAAAAAAAAAGAAAAGACCTATTCATAAACTACAAGCTGGAAATAGAGCATATACTACTAACCTTGTTCTCTCTTTTCCACAGCCTGGGAAAAGCTTCATGGACAAAATGTCACCTAATCTTATGATAAAAAGCAAAGAAACAAAAAGGGAGGGGCTAGAGGGGCAGAATCTCACATACACCTCTTGTGATCAAGGCACTGAAAATGGCTTTATTATCCATTAGGAAGTTTGGAATTCTTTGGCAAAATCACCAGGCTACATCAATGCCCTTACGAATGTGGCCAAATAATTATTATGCTGTGTGATTTAACCATTTAAATTCAGATAAGCTGGAATCTTTAACAGGGTTGAATAACAAGTAACCAGTACACTAATCCTTCTCAGCCTCACTGCTGTTCAATTATTTCTTTTTTAAATTAATACTTCAAAATTCAAGCTCTAAGCCTCTATCATTTCCTAGTGTTTTGTCCAATTTATAAACAAACTCTGGTTGAAGAGCTCTTTATATCCTTATGAGACTGTTTCTTCCATAAGCAAACTATTTTTCAGCATACTGTAGAAACTAGTCAGAAGGCCTAGGGTGAGTGAAGAAGCAGAGTGTTAAGAGGACATTTTTAAAACCAAAATTATATGTTGAAATGAATATATTTTCTGTGACATTTCAGCACTAATAGTGCGAAAGCTAATTTGTGTGTCAGCATCTGTGTTGTTTGTTGACTTTTGCACTTCATTTAGGTGAGGACAAGGTGGCTGAACTGGTTAGCTTGAGACTGGTTGTGTCTCTGTGCTTCAGCACAAGGATACATTGTTCATTAGGCTCATGCACTAGCTGAAGAAGTTCAGTTTTTTAAATGCTTTATTCATATTGAGATGTCATAAAATTGTACGTGTGTGTATACACCTTTTTAATCAAGATTATGTATTATGGATGTTCTGCCTGAACCAAAGTATCTTTACAGTCATCTTGCCTAAATTTACTCTGTATCCTATTCAATTTGTCCAATAAGAGGTGATATTTTCCCTCCACTGGGGGAAAAAGCAAACAGAGGCTATAATTCACATATTTGTGTTCCAAGCATCTACATATATGACACTCAATAACATGGACAGAGCTGAAAAATTACCTGTCACACATATACACCTCATTATCTGAAAAGGTTTCCTCTGGGTGCCAAGTAGGGGGAGCTTTTCAAGGTCGTATCCCAGAAAAAAAAATGCAAGTCATTGTTATGAAACACAGGGGTGCCATCTCAAGCAGAACATCTCCAAGTACCCCTAGACATGACTACACCAAAAAGCTGGGACAGATGACAATAGGTGAAGGAGGTTCACTCTACCCATTCCAGAGGCTCTGAACACCCTATCCTCCACCACCACTGAAAACATGCCTAACACATTCTGAGAAAGCCAGTGTTTACCAGACCAGTCTTACCCAACATTTTGTTTTACTGTTTGCATTCATTAAATGCCCCGGTGGTAAGCACTTTGCTCTGCCTCTTCCTGTGGTAGGTTTCATGTAAAACATGAAGGGCAAAAACTGTAGTTAGCATCATCAGCAAGCATCCTCAGAGAACAATCAAAAGACATAAACAAAGAAGCACTAGAAAGAATACACAAACCATATGCAAAGGAGGAAACAAATTACTCATCTTTCCCAATTCCAGGAATATAAATAACAAAATATTGCAACACAATGGAAAACTTAGAGAGGGGGCATTTTTTTCTTTTTTAATTTAGGATTTCAAAGTTCTGAACTCTTGCCATTAGTTGCTGCTGGGGGGCAATAACCCTCTCAAATACTTCACATCACAATGACGTTTGTACTTGGGAGATGACTTGCAAAGAAAACAAATTCTACAAGCAGGTGCAGGTGTGCTTTTTTTTTATAATCTTAGACAAACATCAATTGTCTTTCAAAAAAAATAATAATAGTTTTAACTACCTAAGCCAAACTCCTGGCACCCCCCCCCCTTAATATATCTGCCCACTTTAATATACAGTGAAAAAGAGAGAGATGATCCTTCTGAATTCAGTGAAGTTGAAATGATTCACTCCTCTGCATTTTCATAAATTTTGAATATGAAGTGAATTAATTCTTTACTGTCAAATAGACATTCTTCTCCCAGAGTCTAAGTTCATACTTGGGTTTAAGTATTTGGGAGAGGAACTAGTTCCAGTTTCTCTGGCATTCTGCTGTCGAATAGACTTTCCCAATTTAAAGCAAATTCTTTCCCTGAAAGCCACACGTGGTTTCACATGTAACCAGAATAGGTGCTTTGTGACTGGAAGTTATTTTCTCCACCTCCTTCTCTGTAGCACAACAAACCTCAGGGGATGTCTTGATATTGTATTCCCTTCATCCTTCATTTGTTTCCTATCTCTATATTCTAAAGCACTGTTTAACAGTTTATCTCCCTGACTACACACTCAGCTTCCATGTTGCTCCAGGGGCCCCCTGCTCCAGTCCCTACAGCAGTGGGGTTCCATAACACTGTATGGGGAAACCAAGATCTTGCTTTTTGACAACCAACTTTGCAAAAGGAGTTCTTTCCTCTTACGGCTAAGGGGCCTTCGGGAATCCAATGGACAAATGGATAAAACAGAAGAAGAAAGAACCACAAGATTCTTTATTGCCTGCTACGTTCTGAGTTCAAGGATTCTGCTGACACCTACAATCAGCTCAAGAGCTGGTTTTCCAGCATTTGAAGCAAGTATCATCTCTAGTAGCCCAGAAAAAAAAAGCCTTCCTTGAACTCAATCTCAGCAGGTAAGTGAAAGAGGACCTAGTTTACTATTTCTCTCTATGAGGGATGCATGTTTAGGAAAAAAAAAAGTTTGAATCATAAGGGATTATTAAAATCTTATTTGCTTCACCCACACACAAAAAAGATTACTTTTTAAGCTTCTAAACAGCCTCAAAAGGGAAAATTAAATTTTCTGTCAGCAATTCTAACCTTTTTGTTGTAAATCAAAACAAAACGACAGGGTTACACTCCTCACTCTTCAAAGGGCCCTAATCTGGCTCAATAGATGCATGCATCTGCAAATGGGTCTGTTTAACTTAACTTTGCACTGCTATCCTAAACAGGGCTGCCATTAAGCCAAAACCCGCTAGCCTTAACAAGCTACTTCTTTGAAGATGTTCCCATCTGATATTTTCAAAGTTCTTTCTTTTTCTGTCTTCCACCCTCTAAAATACCAAGATTTCTTCGACTTTTAATGCTGCTGCTTATCTACCTCTATCTACAGCCCAAAAACAAAACCACCCAACATAAAGCAATGTAGGTTCCTAGCTGGTTAAACTAGTTAACTGGTAGCATTGAAATGTTCATTTCTACTGAGCCGTCTCATCCAAGTTAAACTGAGATATAGAAAGGTATGTTAGAGAATGAGCTAGCGCACTCCCTTTTTCTCCCCGCCCATGTACCCAAAGTGAAGCCCACAATCCACTCAGCCACCCCCAACCAGGTCCAAAAGTTCTATCCCAGTGCCTCTGACCAAGGGGAAAGAAGCATGACTGGTCCCAACTTACCTGTTTGTAAGCATCCAGGAGAAAGCTTTTCCAGACACAGCGTAGCCCTTCTGAGGTCAGCATGCGCCGCCACTCGCCACGAGTGGACTTGGACCGGCTCAGCAGCAGCACCACGTGCTTCAGGAGGATGACCGAGTCATAGAGAGCCAGGAAAAGGCAGTTGGAGAAAAAACCTGGCAGGATTTGCAGTGTAATCAACAAGTCTATGCTGAGTAGACCCATCTTCTCCGCCTCCTTAGTCACTTTGCTTGAGTTCTCTGGTTTCCCTTTTGCACCCTCATTTAAGGGAAAGGGGAGGGGGGTGTTAAGAGGAGGAGATGGTAGTAAAGGGGGGGGGAGAAAAGAAAAGAAACTAAGATTGCAAATAAACCTAAACTGTCACCTCTTTCAAATGATCAGAAATGGCAAAATCCAGTCAGCTTCTCAAATCCAGCAGTTAGAGCATGCCCATCAACTCATTTAACTCTAAACTGCTACTTTCCCCCAGAACTTAAGATGTTAAAAAAAAGTCCCTGATCCAGTAGCCTGAGTCCGTTAAAGAGAGACACTGCTGCACTTTCAGTTCCCAGCCACTATAAAATTGAAGTACACATTCCTAAATTAATTTCAGCTTTTCATTGTCTTAATTATTCAGGTTATCCCGTTTCTTTTCTGAACTTACAAGGGCTTCCAGGTTGGTTGGTTGGTTGGTTTTTTAAAATAGTGCTTAGAATATAAGGGGGCTGTTTTCTTTGTACACAACTTTCTGTTTCTCTTTCTCCTTCTTTCTCTCCCTCAGTCCCTTTCCGAGTGTGTCCTTCTATTTTTTTCTCTCCCTCACTCTATCTTTTCCTCCCTTGCTATCTGTCTGTGGTGCAAAGTGCTTCTCTCTAGAGCCCAGTTTGTTTCCCTGAAGCCTTTTATACATTCCCTGGCTAATTGCTGCAATAGAGAAATGAAAGCCTAATCTTGGTAAAGATCTTGACGTCATTGAGAAAGAGGGCTTTACTTTGGCCAGAACTGCAATGAATAGAGAAGCAAAACTCGAAAACTTTTTTTTTTTGAGAAGGGGGGAGGGTAGAATTTTGCTTTGTTATTTAAAGAGAGAGAGACGAGAAAAAAAATGTTCAATACCTTTGACTGCTTTCAGGAAATGCTTTCAAATTTAGGGGAAAGAATTTGAATGTGACCTGCAGAGGGATACAGCAATGATACCCCATTGTTGGGGGGGGTTGTATTTTTTTCAAAGGATTTGGGGAGGGGAGTCCAATGTTAGAACTTCCTTTCTCCTTTTCCTGTAAATGTTCAGCAGTTTTCTAGAGAATTACTAACAATCCAAATTACCTTTTTCATTCATCCAGTTTGTTACCTGGGATTTTTAAAAAATAATCATTCATGTAATTTTCTTTACATTTATAGAAAAGTAAAGGTGGGAGAAGAAAGTGTTTTAAATACATAGACTATTTGGTAATCTTAGATTATATGTGCAAAACAAACAAACAAAAAATAATTTCCTTTTAAGCTTCAATGCAGAAGCCCCAGAGCAAAAAAAAAAAAAAAGGGGGGGGGAAGAATGAGGAAGAGAAAGAGTTCTTCCAGAAAGAAACAGACAGCTTCTTTTAATCATGTTTTGCCTACATGCAGATACAAGTCAAACTCTCCATTGAAAAACTGATTGGCATTTTAATGTCACAAGGACAACTGAATTCTTTTTTTTTAAATAAGGAAATTTTAAAGATCTACATTTTTGCTACCTCTTTTAGGCGTTATGTGAATATTTTGTCCCCTAAGGAAAGCTTGCTTCATTCTTTATACATTTTTTTTCAAATTAAGTCTTCAGAATTCTAGGTGCAGTTAGTGTTGGTCTGAGGTACCAACCATATCAACAGGTTTTACAGTCAGAATCTCCTATTAAGCCTCCTGGCTATGTAAGTCAGAAGCAGCCCTTTGGCCCAACTCTTATCACCCCACCCTTTTCATAGTGTTCTTTCTCACTGACCTAACAGCCCACCTCTAGGAAATATGTTTTCTTGGAAGAAGAAGTAGCAAGTACAAACACTGGGGGAAGGGGCAGAGAGAAAAACCTTAATTGAAAGGGTATTCCCTGATTTTTCTCCATGTACAGAGTTCTCATTGATTTAGATGTGAACTGAGAGGAGCATCCAGACCTTTGGCAGATTGGGTTCTGCATTTGCTCCTGTTTAATCTCCACAGACACAGGAAGGATACCATAGCTTAAATCTGTTAGGAGTATATCATTGTGTGGGCAAATGAAGAAATCAGACAATATTTTTTACCCAAAATTGATACTAGTAGGTAGCAAGAGTATACTATTTTATATTTATAGTGCTTTTAAAAAGACAACAATGATTTTTGTCTCTCTTCTTCCTTTCCCCTCCCCCACATTTTCAGCCTCCCTTACCAAAAAAAAAAAAAGTCCTAACAAGAGGAGTGGAGGAAAGAGACTACAAATGGTATTTTACATAGTACAGAAGGAGAAGGGGGAGTGGGAAAAACAGAGAGGCAGAGAGAGGCTGCTTAGCACTTGCCTGTAGTGACAGTGGAAGGCAGGAGCCAAGTTGAGGACGGAACCCAGGATGTAACTCCTCCATTCTCTAGCCTAATCACTAAATCATGCCTCTTCTCAGACACCACCTCTACTTTATGATTGGACTTAAATATTCCTCCTCCTTCGGTAGACTCCAACTCACAAAACACAGCAGAAAGGCAGCTTCTCCCTTTCATTTGAGCTTGAGAGGGGAGGTGTGTTTAGAAACGGTAAACTGAAGAGAGTGATTGGTAGGAAATCAGGAAAGGTTTTCTCTTTAAATTCAGGGTTCAAATGACAAAACCAGATGAGGAATTTTGTCTGGATTACCATTTTCTAGAATCTCTATTTTGTTTCACCTTAACTCATCCCCACCCCCCAACACATGCAAACACCTCTCTTCCACCTCCCCCTGCCCTCGGGTCAGAAGAGTAATTCAGGAAATTTCTGTGGTGTCAAGAAAAATATGGGAGAACAAACTTCTTAGTCAGGAAGCTTCTTAGCGTTCTTCTACCTTTTCTGAATGAATGAATAAGCCCTAAGGCTAAGGAACTACATTTGCTTTACCTAAGGGTTAGGCAGGTCCTTCCACCAATGCTCTTCCTCCAAGGCTGTGACTTGTACAGCATCCAATTCAGAAGTTCCATATGCTTTTTATTAATAGCACTTTAATCTTCAAAGAACTTTATACCCACTAAGTGACTAATGCATGCACAGACCCATAAGGTAGATGACTTTGATTAATCCCATTACACAGATGGGTGAATGAATCATTGAGGCCCCTAGATTCTGAGTTAGTGGAATTAGCATTATGTAATTTTCCCAGTTCAGAATCCTACCTTTTTTTTTGTATTCAATTATCTCATGGATCTCTACTAAGAACCAGAGCCTTGGCTTGAAGGTGGCCGTCCTTAATACTTTTACCCTCTGACATTCATGGACACTTTTTAATTTTATTTCATTTCTGTTCATATTGGCCCAACTGAGCTTCCTGCTTCAGGTTTCCAATGATCATTAAAGAGACTTATAAAGTTTCTTGGGATCAAAGTAGTCTTAGCAAAGAACATTTTGATGAGTTAAATACAAACAAATGTGAGGCATATGGATTGCATTTCCCTTCACAATCCTGTACTCAGAGTTTTTAATTCCAGGGGAAGGGACCTTGGGCAAAATGCTTTAGGCTTTTTACTAAATACGGAAGGGGGGGGGGAATGATCCAAGACAATTTTTTTTCCAGGGTATGACACTGCTGAGCACAGTCAGTGCTTCCCTCTGGTTAGGAAAATAGCAGGTGTGCCAGTGAGATGGCTCCTTTATGAGGTCTTAGGATGCATTGCTAAAGGAAATTCAGATGGTTTTCCTCCTCAAAAGAATCTGAGGAAATTCCCATGATGCTACAACTGCTGGCCCTTCTTTCCTCCTTCAACCTTAGCTAAAAGCACACAAAGACCAGGCTAGTCATCAGTCTACTGGGTGAATGTTTGTCCTCTTGGCTCCTGGAGTGGCACTAACCAGGAGCTAACTCTTTCTCTACGGGATAATTGACTTTCTTCCTCTGGTCCCTTCCAGCTTGGCCCAGGATGGGGGTGCAATGAAGTATCAATAACTTCTCCAATAACTACTATTATTGAAAACAGGAGTTCAAAGGCATAAAGGAAGTTCCCACATACACCATATTATTAGCAGCAAGGAACTAGAAATAAAGTAGGTGCCTATCAATTGGAGAGCAGCTATACAAATTATGGTATGAGAAGGTAATAGAATATTTCTACACCATGAAAAATGATGAATGTGAAGAACTGAGAAAAGCATGAGAAGCTTTGGATGAACTGATGCAGATTGAAGAAAGCTGAACCAGTGGAACAATACACAAAATGACTGCATATAAACAAAAAGAACAAAATCACCAAATACTGCAGAAGTATGATGATCAATCTTGGTCCTGGAGAAAGTCTGAAACAATCTATCTCTCCTTTAACTGCAGCACTGGAAGATTATGTGGATGTGGAATGTTGTACATACGGTCAGACACAGTCCATTGGTTGATATGAATTGATTTTTTTCACTCTTTTCCTGTCATCTTTATTTCAAGGAACAGCTTACTGGGCAGGAGAGGGTAATGATGTACTTGGAAATTAACATGATGTAAAAACAAGTATCAATAAAAATTTAAAAATGAAATACACAGGCACTTGGAGTTTTATATGGGTTCAGCCACGTCACAAATAAGATAAGGTCCCTGCCTTCTAGAATCATGTGACAAAACAGAAACCAAACAGATGAACTTGGACACACCTTTAGAAAAGAAACTGGGATAAGGAAGGCAATCTTTGTGTGAGATAAGAGCCTTAAATTCCAGCTGACTTTTTGGGGCCCCTTGCAGGCTCTGACAGATACTATAATGTTGAGATCTCACCCTCTTCAGCTATTTTGACTCATTTTTAAGACATTTACTCAAGTAGAAGAGAGGGAAAAGGGTAGGAAGAGATCCCTCTTTTTAAAGATGAGGAAACTAAAGCTTGGTATAGGAAATTACTTCTTATCTGAACACATATAGGTACTAATTAGAAGATGGAGGATTTGGATCTTGGGCCTCTGACTTAGGGGGGAAAAAAGTAGATAAGGAAGAGCAAGAGGTTACTCACTGACATGCCTGCTGAGGCTGCCAGTAAGAGTGCCAATTAATACCAATTGTTATACAGTTTTTGTGAGGAAGACAGCTGTCCACCAGGAACTGGACTGTATCCATCACCTCATTTCATATAGGCCACTGAGCAGCTGTTAAAAGACAAGAGCTTTCATTCATTATTGACCTAGCCTGGAATTAAACTGATGGCCATTTCCCCACCCCTAAGCCACCTAAACCTTACTTGAGGCCCTAGGATTTTATTATTTTAATTTTCATATACACATGAAATATAGGCATGTATGGGGAACAGGGAGTAGGGAATAGAGGAGGAAAACAGGGAGCTGTGGAAAATATGCACAGGGTGAATCACTTCTAGATAAAGTCATCACTCAAAGAGGAAATGAAACCAACTGCCCAGTCTCTTCTGAAGGTGAGTGAAAGCTGAGCTTTTCAACATACTCTCTCCTCTTTTATCACCCACCTACTCAAAGCCACAGACTAAGAGAAACAGAAGTTAAAAATAGCCTTTACTTCGAAATGGTTCCTTCCTCTAATCTGTTTCAATCTAGCTCAATGAGAACACCAGACCATGTTCCAATTGAACATGAAATAGGTCATTCTTACTGTTTTTTTACAGTACCTTATAAGAAATGGATTGCATTTTAAGTTATGAACATGGCGTTCGTGAACTTTCAAAAATATTTTGATTATTTCAATATATAGCTGGTTTCCTTTGTAATCCTGTGTGTTTAATTTTATGTGTTCAAAACATTATTCTGAGAAGGGGTCTATAGCCTTTACGTGACTGCCAAAGGAGTCCATGATATTGAAAAAGAAAAAGGTTAAGAGCCCCTGCATTAAGCATAATAGGCACTGGGCATGGCGATAGAATGTGGTATACACTGCTCCATGCCACTGAAGAAATAAAGGAAAAGTTCCTCCTAGTAAGGGCTGAAGGGCTGATCTTCTCCAGACGCTAAACATCCATAAAAATGAAGCTAATCAGCTATTCTCTACTTCTTCTAAGGCTGGAATAGGATTGAACAACAACAACAACAAAATTCAGGTTAGATTTTTTTAATGAATTTTTTTTAGGTTAACCTCCTGGGTAAGTTCCCCAGGAAAGTTATAAAAACTTCACTAGAGAGCATAAAAGTTTAAGGCTAAAAAGATGTTTATGAAGACAACTTCTCAAGATCCCATGATTCTATTGAGTTTTCACATGAACAATAAAGAGTCAGTATCAAAGCCAGAAAGACCTGGGTTTAAGTTTCACCTCTGATATATACTGGCTATGTGATTCTAGACAAGTCATTTAAATCCTTCCAGGGAAACTGATCTGCATTGGTAGAGGGAGTACATTATAGCAGTGTAAAGACAAGTCTGGTTCCTATCCATATTCCAGAATACATATCTTTGCTGACATAATATATACATGTTCATTATCACCCTCAAATAGTAATAGCAAACAAATGCCATATTCATAAATCACATTTCTGTTTACACCTAAATTACTCAGACCAATTGTTTACTAGTACTATATGAATATATTGACTTAATTTGGACTCCTGGTATGATAAGCAGTATTTGTGAATTCCAATATATTTCAGTTTCATTAGTTAATGGCATCTAAAAAATTAGGAGCAAAATGCAAGCACACACACACACACACACACACACACACACACACACACACACACTTAGCCAAACAAGTACTTTTTAGAACTGAAGTGAAAACAAAAGAATCAAGTATAAAAATTTTTCACTTCTTCACAATAACTCAGTCATATTTTAAAGATTCTAAAAATATATATCCAAAGGAAAACTAGTAGTCTTTTCAACATCAGGATGAAGGACTAAAGTATGAATCCACCCAAATTTCAAAATCCATAGGACAAATATCTATTCATCTTCTACAAAAGTTAAATAGTAATAATAATAGTTAACAATAGCTAACATTTATAGAGTGTTTACGATGTGTCAGGCACTACATTAAGCGCTTTGCAATGATCATCTCATTTGATCCTCACAACAACCCTGGAGGTAAGTGCTGTTGTTTTATCCCCATTTTCCAGATGAGGAAACTGAGGCAAATAGAGTTTAAGTGATTTGCCCAGAGTCAAATACCTAGTCTCAGAGGCCAGACTTGAAGTCGGGTCTTCCTGACTCTAGATCCAAGCTGTATCCTCTGTGCCACCTAGCTGACCCTAAATAGTATTAGGAAACTTTGCAATTTCATATTTATCTCCATAAACAGGTGTCATAGGCTAGTAAAAAAAAAATCACAGAATGTCAGGGTTGTAAAAGCCTCAATAATGGCTCATAGGTGAGGAAACAAAAGACCTGAGTGATTAAGAGATTTTTCCCAAGGTTGCAGAAGTAGTTAACGGCAAAAATAGAATTAGAACCTGGGTTTTCTGACTGCTATTCTGCATCCAAAGTCTCAGAGTCTTCTATTTTGGCTGCACTATTGCCTATGTGAGTAAGTAGGAATTGTCTGTGCCTCAGTTTATCCAGGTGTATGATAG